AAGCAAACCTCCCCGCAACCCCAGGAAATTAAATAGAACCCCAAATGCCACTCCTTCTTCATTTTCCCTTTTCTTTCCCTTGGCCTGATTTGCTCTCACATCTCTTAACTGTGTGATTAAGACAACAGGAAGGTCCTATGAAAACCAGGCAGTTTGATGTCACCTAGCGCCCTGTGGCACAGTGCCAGCACGAGGCATGGCCTGTGACAGGCAGTGCCTCCATCCCTGCTCCTGAGGCCCAGTACAGCCCAGTGGAAGAGGAAGGTGAACATGTCAGGGACCCTTTGACAGGGGTCCAGAGGCCAGGGCTCAGTTGTTCAGGGCAGGACCAGCCCCTACATGCCAGATTTGCTTTTGCTGATACCCAAGTCTGCGGCAGTACCTCCTCGGAGAGTTTCTAGGCATTCCTCACTGATCGGCAGGGGGTTTGGCTTAGATAAAGTATCAGAGATGACCTCTACAATGCACTTCATCACCTAGAAAGAGAAACAAATACAAGTTAAAGAACTGCTTTTTGTCTTTTATTCCTACTTGTTACCAAGGCTAAAGTAGAGCAGATGATGGCACAGATCTTGCTTTTCTGGTCAAGCTCAAACTGAACGTTCAGTTCTTGTTTTCTCTTACACAGGAACAGAAGGTACCTCCTGCAACTGAGAAGTGAGGAAATGACATGTGACAATGGAAAGAGCCTCTTCCACATGACACTCAATTTAGCTGAGGATTGCATGGCTTCAGACCATACCAGAGTCTGAGCACATCTGGAGAGTAAAGGATATCTGAATATATATACAGAAAATCCAAAATCTTCCTCTTTTAAGTCAGTATATTTCAACCTCTATCTCATAAAAGGACTCAATGGGAGGCTGTAGAGAGCAAAAAGTGGTCACAGCTGTTCAATAGATGACCTTGAAATCTTAAAAGCTCTTCAAACCCTTGGAAAGACATCATAGTTCAGTTGAAGCCAGGCATGGAAGGTGAGGTTAGGCAAATTACTTTCAAACACAGGTGAGAAATACTGCTCTCAGGCCCTAGAAAGGACAAGACACTCTGGAGAAGTGTTTGACCTTGTGCTTTGAGTGTTCAAGCCATCTATTATAGACTGGAAGAGCTCTACATGATGACAGGTCATCTGAAAGCAAAGAAGTTCTGACATAGCTTCTCAGACAGGAGCTCTGGGCCCACCCTTTCCAGCAGCCCGTTTTGTTGGTGTAAAACCAAGAGCATTATTTATGTAATTTGTCACCTGCACCGAGATTGCAGGCATCCTTGCTATGCCAAGACACAGTGCTGGGAGCCCTAGTGTGTGGTCACATAGACCCAAATGGTCACACAGGACAGAAACATTCACTACAGTCTGGTACTGATTAGTAGTGTAGGAATAAGGCTGCTTAGTTCAAAAGGGTGATTTTTTTATAATTCAATCTAGGAAGAATGCAGGGCTCATAATTGCCTGTGAGAAAAAAAAAAAAAAAAGAAAAAGAGAGGCTGTATTGAATAAAAGAATACAAGTTAAGCCTTGGAGGCAAAAAATTCACTCACTGAACCTCTTTCTCCTGATGATTTCAGCAGGCAGCCCTGAGAGCCCTGACTTCCCTCACAATGTACCATTCTCAGGAGAGCAGAGTGCTGTGACTGAAGTAGAAATTAAACACAAGTCAGCAGTCCCCAGTCATCCACAATGCTGTTCATTCAAGCAGTTGGATATATTCACTGGACAGCTGGAATGGGCAAATGCTCACCCTGTATAAGGAGAGAATTTTGCTTTTGCAGATCACCATAAAATGTTGAACTCTATGCCTTACACAGTTTGATTGCCTAATGGATTAAAAATGCTACAGAAAGATTAAAAAAAAAAAAAAAAAAAAAAAAAAAAAAAAAAGAAAAAAGAAAAAGAAAGCAGGGGAATTTCCCTGGTGCCATTCTCCTATATCACAAGCAATCCATTAATACTGATTTTAGATAACTTTGAGTCACTCTGTCTTTAAATAGAAAAAAACCCAGATTCTGGTATTCTCCTCTCATGTTTCCCAACCTCTGGACCTACTTGCAGCAGTATTTGATGCAGCCTCAGCAGTAAAGACTCTTTCAGCTTGAGAAGTAATACTCTGGTTCAGTGAAATATTCTATTCAAGCTTTTTCAAGACTTCTAGGCTGATCTAAGGTCTTTGTCTGAACACAAAGAGACACATCACTCACCACAGAAATACATTCAACTCTGTGGAGGAGCTTTGTAAGGTAATGAAATGAAGAGTGCAGTCATCCCAGAACACTCTCGTCTTTTTGTTAGAGGAGGTCTTGCAGAGTGAGACTTCACAAGGTCATGAAACAACAGCCTGCATCAGGAAATGGAGGAGATCCTTTCCAAATGAATGTAATTAATCCAGTGCAGAAACTCAGACTGGAATTTTGCCATAGCTATCATCTAACCACGAACATGTAACTATATCCTTAAGAGCAGCTCACAATGTCCCTACACAGAAATCTCCAAAGGGTTGTGCCCTTACAAGGACAGACTTCTCCGTACTTGACCTCAGCTATGCTCTTCTAAAATGTATGGTTCTAAGTGAGAAATAGTATCCTTCAAGCACAAGAGTGGGCAATCACCAGAGACATTGTAAATGCTTTGCTCTTGTTTGGCTTCCTATGGAAAGCTCTTGGTGTAAGGAAAGTCTGACGAGCTGTCCAGGAAAGGCCTGCAAGTGCTGACTACCCATTACACAGCCCTGAGCCACCCACAAATGCTGGTAGCACAGAACATGGTGTGTAGGAAGAGCTGCAGTTCTTTTTGCTGTATTCATGTGATGATATCCCTGCCCTAATCTGTTCCATGAGACCACAAATTCCTTCCCTGAAATGCTGTGTCTCAGAGGATGGTGAAGCCCTAATGCCTCCTTCAAATTGCAGCAAATTCAAAAGAAAGCTGAATTTGCTCTCAGAGCCTTTGTCAGTGTAATACCCAGGGAAGGAAGGCAGTCTTGAGAAAGTCCTTTCTTGGTGGAAGCATTTCCATAGCATTGCACCAACTGCCACAAAAGTGCCTTTTTTATACATAGAATATACTGGGGAATGGACCTCACAAGGAAAATCATACGATTAATGGATTGTCCCATCAGATGCCCACTCTGGCATGGAAAGTTGAAGGGCTAAGTGCCTGTCCCACATCCCCTTCCTCAGCAGCACACAGCCGAGGAAGGCACCCAGTGTCTCACAGCTCATGGCTCAGTCCCAGCAAGGGCTAAGCAGGCTAAAAGTCTTAACAAAGCCACTTCTCTCCAGCCCAGGCACGTCTCACAGAACACAGGGAGGTGTTGCTCATGGCACACGTCCTGCAGGTAGCCTGCAATGGGGCCTGTGGCTGAGACTGCATCAGTATGCCCTCCCCTGCTGCTGCCTGGGGAAAAACATTATGTGGCTAGGTTTCATAACACAAAACAGTTCAAGAAGTAAAAAGGAAAAATGCTGGAGTTTCCTTTGTGGACATAAATTTCCAAAGAAATTTTAATTTGGGCAGCCAAGAGATCAGCTCATAGGAAAGATGGGGAAGTGGTGGGGGTGAGGGAGTAGTGTCTGACATAGGTAAACACAGGCAAACCCCCTATCCAAGCATTTAGGAGCCAAAAGGCTGTTGGGAGTGCACATTTGTGAAGCGCAGCTATAAATGTTGGAGGCTGTGACACAGATATGTTCACAAAAGCCTGTAAAGGAGGGCTGGAGAGGTCAGCCAAGTCCTGCAGTGCTCATAGCCATCCAGACAGGCTGAGCAGGAGCTGAGGATGGATTAGCAAGCTGAGAGTACCAGTTGCCTATTTTTCCAGAGCATGCATGTTTAAGTAGCACACAAACTCAGATGTATACACCTCCAAACACAAACAGTTCCTGAATCACATCTCCCCCTACTCTCCCCTGAGTCACCTCCTGTTAGGAGCTTTGAAAAGCTGAAAGTAGGAGGACTAAGGAGAGTTTTACTCAGCCTCCATCTTCTCTCTAAACAGGTTTGCCTGATCTCTCTGTCACATCCTGAGATACTTCCTTGGCTGCCCAGAAGTGAATGCACAAAGGGTAAATTTTGAAGGGAGCAGAGATGGATCCTGCTTGAGGGATCTTATGCAAATTCCTGGAACTTCTTACAAGGTATTTCAGTGGAAGTGGCCCAAAACCAACCACCTGGGTGGAGGTGGAATATCACATCCTTTCTCTTCATTTGACCCTTCCACTACAGGCTCAGCCTTACCTTAGTGTCGCCTTTATTCATGTCATTTGTCACAGGAAGGGAGACGGCTGTAAGGTAAGGGGAGGGGGGGAAAAAAAGGAGAACTTGTTATTCATCTCATCTAGAACACAAGCAGAAAAACATTATTCTGCTTAAACGGGAATATTAATTAAATATTAAATGAATTAAAACGGGAATGGAGAAGAGGGGCATCTCTCTCTGATGGTAGTGGTCCTTGTGTGCAGCTGCTGGATGTGTGCACTGTGCTGGGAAGGGAAGGGAAGGGAAGGGAAGGGAAGGGAAGGGAAGGGAAGGGAAGGGAAGGGAAGGGAAGGGAAGGGAAGGGAAGGTGCCCGGGCGGCGCTCGGCAGTGACCTTGCGGCGCCGCTGTCCGCGGTGCTGGAGGGGCCGGGCCGTCCCTGCCCGCGGTGCTGGCGGCGGGGCCGGCGGGCGCAGCTGCCGCGGGCTCAGGGGGACAGGGAGCCATCCCAGCCCCACTTACCCGGCACGGCCAGCAGCAGGACGGCGAGCAGTTCTGGCCGGCTCATGGTGCTGGCGGGATGGAGGCAGGGAGAAAGGGTCAGAGGGCGAGACTGTCGTGGCGTGGGGGCTCCAGGCGAGGTGCCGAGGGGAGAGCAGCACGGAGCGTGTGTATCTACGCCAGTGCCCTGGCTGAAGATCCCAGATGGAGCACTGCAGCAACCGGCTCATTTATATATCTCAGCCCTCGGAAATGGCGTCAGGAGGAAGCCACCTCCTCCTCTGCCCCTCCCCGCTCACACAGGCTTCCCATCAGCCTCCATCACTGGCCGGGTGTCGGAGGAGCCCCGAGCTCCCCGGCTGCCGAGCCAAGGGAGCCGGCTGCTCCATCAACCCGCACTCCGCGGGCGCACCGAGGCTCGGAGGTGCGTTTGTTTGCAGGATGCCGCTGCTCGCACCTCACCCGACGCCGGCAATCTGCACATGTGCCCTGCCCCGTGTACGTGGAGCCAGACGTGAGCCACCTCATGGGGCCCGGCCAGCATTGCAATCTGGTTTTGCCCTCTCAGGGCCCCCTTATCTTTCACTCATCATAGAAGTTTAGAGCAGGTGCTGAAATTTTTAGATGCCTTTTAAAGATTCCACTCCAGGGAACTGGTTACCATGGAAAGGGCTTGCCAATGGACATGGTAAGTCCCAGCAGTTCCATGAAAAGTTTGTTAGAAGGATATTATTTGGGGTAAAGATCAAAGGCAGGTGCACCTGCTGTCCACCTATGAGTCTACAAGAAAAAATTTAATTGGTTGCTACCTTTTGTTCAATGCTTTATAACACTCTTTAGCAAAAGCCTACACTCCAAAACTGAAGTAATCAAGATTACCTGGCTGCCAGTTTGCATTGACAAGGGAGAGAAAGGAAACAAAAAATGGTGTCATTCTCTTAGTCACATGCATTTCCATGCTTTTGAAAAAATGGCTGTCTATTCTTTGGATGGAGCATCTGTCAGGTCAGCCAGCTGGATTCTTTTTTTAAAGTAACTCCAATGCTTTTTTAGGAATAGCAGCTCTGCTACTCCATTCTATTCCTGAAGCAATTTCAGAGGTCACAAAATGCAGGGGCTTAGACTAGAAAACAATATTCAGAAAAATACACCATCTTTCTTCCCCATCCTGCCTCACTCTGATCACTGAGAAGTCCTGCACCCAAGGAATTAGGGAGAATCTAAGAGGTCATCACTTGTCATCTGGTCTAAGGTGACAGGAACTTTTCTATGAGATTAGGCAGTACAGACTGCACTGTTGTTTTCCCTTTCTCTTTCCAGGTGCACATGGAAATGTGTTCCCAAATGTCCTCTAATATTTATCTGATTTAAATGCATGCTTCAAAAGACACATTTGGATTGTAAAAGGCTATTCATACAAAATCAGAACTCCTCTTGTCTGTTGCATTTCCTAGTTAAATGCAGAGAAAAGATGGAAATTGATCTTCTGAACAGTGCTTTGTGGATGGCAGTAATGGATGGTTAAATGTTCATAAGTCTATGAAATGAACACCCATGACAGTTCTTGTTCCATGGGAAATCTCCAGGAATAAGAGATACCCTTTCTTTTTGGTTGTTTTTTTTTTTTGTTTTGGGGTTTTTTTTTTTTTTTTTTTTTTTTTTTTTTTTTTTTTTTTTTCCCAGGGTGTGTGTTGTTGAATTATTCACTTGGGTGGAGGGATAGGGGCCTTTTCCTCACTTAGGATACACCAGAACACACAAGTCTCTGAGTCTGAAAAACTGAGCATTATTAGGATTGTAAATTTCTATGTATTCCTAAGTGAGAAACAGATTGATTTTCTTACCAGGCTATGTTTTCCTAGTCAATATTTACTCGTCCTTACGTATAAATGCTGATCTTATTAGAGCAATAAATTGTCTCACTTCTAATCCAGTTTCTTACATGAAGTCCTTTTCTTCTCCTTCTTCCTTTTCTTTTTGAGAAATTTCACAGGATACTGTAGTGCCCATAACTACTATTTTTTCTTCTCTTTCTCAGGGTGTGGTCTTGTATCCATTAAATTCATTGCAAAGGAGAAACAAAATGCTTTCCAGGTATGGCATGCATTCTCCCACTGTAATAGTGCATGATGGATAATGAATTTTTCTATTTCTTGCCCCAGAAAAATGGATATGAAACTGTTAATCCAGCAATCAGTATGTCTGCTATTGGAATTTGTATCATTAGGCACAGCTATATTAGGAACTGTCACAGTAAAGCATGCCAGGGAAAGATATATGTCAAAAGAGCAAAAGTGATCAAATAAAAAAGTGAAAGGTATTCTACCACTCAGAGAAAGACAATGCCTGAAGCAGACTATAAGGAAAGAGCAGGTTTGTGAGTCTCTACTGTAATTTGTGTTTTAGTATATGGAAAACAGGACTACATCTTCAATGAGTGGCAAAGAAGTGAAGATGAACATTTCTGACCACTTCCAGCCTTAAAAAAAAATCTGTTGATGTCTGTAGAGAACAATTCCATTTTTCCTTATAGCTGCACAATTTCTGGTGCATGAAGTGCGGTGGGACTGTGGAGAGCCATATACCATGACCTGCCTGCAGTCACCAATGTAACATGTGCAGATGAACAGAGATATTTGCCTTCCCAGCCTGAAAGTGATTTGAAAAGATGGCGATGTCCTGATGGATAGAAGCAGCCACCCAGGACTGTTGCATTATCCATGCTCTGAGCTGAGGGAACAGGAGGGTCAGCCTAAAAGCCATATTGATATATGATCTTTCTGTGCATAAGGTCATCTGATTGAGAGATTATGTGGCTTAAGTTCTATTCTCAAGAGTAAAATTTTTTTTTACTTTATTTCAGAATTCAGGGAATAAAACCAAGGGATTTTGTTTTTTACTTTGAGTTACTCTGAGAGCTTTGTTGTATAATTTCTTGGCCGAAAATGGTTTAAGAATTCGCTCCTTTTCTGTGCTTGGAAACACTGACACTGCATTTCAAACAGCTGTGATTCTACAGATCCAGATACTGAGGCACACAAAGAGGGAAAGTGTCATTTTCGTGAAGATACCAAAAAGGTTTGGAGCCAAGGCACAGCTAATACCACCCCCTAACCAAAAATACACTAAGAAAAAATAAGCAACAATTACCTTCTTGTATATAAAATCAATTGATAACTGTTTGACTGAAAAAATTGAATGTAAGCTCATTGCAAAATTACTATAAGTCTATTAAAACCCCCACATCATACCTTTTCTTCTTTCCCGCCTCAGTCAGTCACCATCACCTCTCAGTTCCCTCATACAAGCCTTGCTTGTCTGCCTGTAAATAGAAATAAGCTTCAAAGCTCAGATTGCTGCTGTGAATACTCATCTGGCTGCTCAAAGGCAGTCCTCTCTTCTTTTTCAGGTCAGAGGCAAAATGATGTTGACTTGCTTTGATTTTCTTAGTCTAGACTGTCCTTGCATCAACCTGAAATGAATTTATTTTCCTGTTGAAAGGACTAGTTACACCCCATAAAAAAGCTACCTGACAGTAGCTACCTCTGCCTATCCATTTTCATCCTTGCCTGGCATGCACAGCTCTCACTGGGGCAGATGGAGTATGTTCCCTGCTGGAAGAAGAGACTTCTCTGTAGTCATCACAGAATACCATCTGGACACCCTTACAAATAGCTTGGATCTCAATATAATTGTTCTAAATGTTATTCAAACACCAACCTGGAAAATGTCATATCCCTCCAATACCACGGTCAGTTTACCTGGCAGTTACAGAAAACCTTCACTGATTCATGTGAGCCCCACTGAATCTGCAAAAAGATGTGGAGACAGAAGTTCTTCCTGAACAGTGATCTCAAACAACCTCCTCTGGAAATTCCTGATTATTCCTTTGGCTATGGTTTTGTTTAATTTGTGACAGCAAAGTTTGTATGATGCTGGTGTATATATTCAGTAAGGTAAAACAATTCCATAACTTCTAGACTGTTCTTAAACAAGTTTATGAGAAAATAATTGATATGGCTTACTTAGCTCTGAAGCTAGAGACAGGCAGTACTGTTTACTGACCTAGAGACACTAACTGGGTTCATGAGAATTAAGGGAAAAAAATAGTGACAAGAATGACTGAGGTCTATGGAGCAGCACTCCTGTTCTGGGAGGTCCATAAGCCCATCAGACAGCCTCTACTCTGCCAGCAGCTCACAGCCAACAGAGGGATACTCAGTCAGCATCAGCCCAGATTCTGAACATTGACTGCCAGGTATATTTTTTTAGAGATCATTTTATTCCTCTTCCTTTATAAACCAAATCTGTCTGTCCATTCCAAACCAGTTGCTCAGTGAAAACCAAGCGAGCCACAGGGGTACATGGGTCTCACATAAACAATTTCCTTTCTGGATGTTTTCTTTGATCTCTATTTGCTCACATCGGAAACAACGCACTTGAAGAGTTGAAAAGACAACTGAGCACAAAGCCTGCTTCTCTGCCACACTTGAAGAAGGATGAAGGAAAGGTGTGAGGATTCATGCATGTACTGCCAACATATCTCTGTCCCAAAAGCCAGACTTAAGGATTTTCAGGGCACTGTTGTCCCCACAAGATTATTATTCTTCAATCAGTGGCAATAGCACATTCCCGGAACCACCTGCTGGGAGATATGAAGCACAGGGACACAACACTTGCTATTTTGGGTTGGAGCAGGGAGCTGGAGACCCTGGGCTCTCACCTGGAGGCAGGGACAATGGCTGTGGTAGGACTAGGTCCTCTTCCTGCCTGCACGCCAGGCTGAATCCCAGCTTTCAAGTCTCCCAAAAGCTGGGCACTGGCCCTGATATTTATTTTACAGTGCTCCACAATGTTCTGGTGTTAATTAGAAGTAGCTAGTTTGATTGTCCCTCTGAGAGTCTTCTCAAATTTGGTACCTTCCTCAGCTTTATGGCATTAAATGCCACAGCTTGCTTAAACACAGCAAAAAGTATCTCATCTGTTATTTTAAAATTACCTCTTCTTCTATTCTAAACCTCAGAAAGACAAAAACTCTTTCTCTTCCCTAGTCCAGTGAGGCTTTCATGATATTTATATTTCTCTCTTATTCATGTTCTTTCCAAGAGAAACAGTCTCGGTCAACTGGTTCTCATGAGGCTCCTTTAAACCTGGCTACTAGCCAGTGAGTCCCACAGGTTAATTACCTACAGCATATAATTACCTATAACATAATGCAAAGAGGTCCTGGGGTATCCTGTTCTCACTAGAACACTGTTACTAGAATATTTTTAGTGTTCACTCAGTGACCCAGAAACTTTCTGGGGATACCTGAAAAAACTTGGTTTTCATTCTGGGAGTGGTCATACATAGATGTATCAGGAGTATCCTTGAAGATCTATTATTCCCTCACATAAAAGAGATTGTGGAGAGGACAGGGAGGAGTTCTGGAGTTCTTGCTCCAGCAGCAAGTCAGTAGTAAAGAGTTGCCCCAGCCTGTATCAGGGAAATTACTCAGTCTGGATAAGGAAAGAAAAAAATTCCCACCCTGCTGGTCTCAGTTGGCACCTTGGTCCCTTCCCTCCACCCACTCAGCCTGGTTTGGGTCAGGCTGTTCTCTGCACAGCTTGAGCAGAGCTTTGGGTAGCCTGTGCAGTGCAGATGGATCCTACTTCAGATGTTCTGTTGGCAAGGCAGTTTTTGAACATCAAATTCATGTTAATGCTAGTTAATGAATGTTCTCTTTACAGGCACAGCAAACCTTTTTCTTCTGTACTAAGCAAGGAATAGAAGGAGGTAGCCTTTCAGGTATTAAATTGCTTGAGAGCATCAGCACAGAGCAGCTTGAGGAACAGCCACAGAATCTTAAATTACTGTTACTGGGCTTTTTTCAGCCTGCAGGAGCTCAGGTTTCTTACCTGACCAATGCTTTTTCTTCAAAGGAGAGTAGGGTTTGCAGTGCCTGTCCTTGGGGAGCAGCCCAATTACTTTCTGCAGGGCAAGGGGACAGCAGCATGAGGCACCTTCAAATGCAGCAAAGTCTCTGCTAAACCCACCTCATTCATATGCTCTGCAGAAAAAATAGTCCAGACAGATTCCTCCACATTGCAGGATGAGCCCAAAGAAAATTTGGGAGATCCTGAAGAAGTCCTGCAGCTCCTAGTTTTTTCTGGAGGAAAGGGTTTGGACCACTGACCTTGCAGAGATCTCCTCTATGTACTCAGCTGAGTTCAGACAGTCTCTGCTACTAAGTGCTTGGGAGAACGTTTCAGGACAAACCACAATTTCTACTTTGCTGGGGATTAAAAAACCCCAAACCAACAGGGAAAAAAAATACAGACCATGCTTATCTTTCTGGGTTTTTTCAGAGTTTTTACTGAAACATGATCTGCTGGCTCTCAACAGCTTTTTGTTTTATGGAGGTAGCTATATAACCAGAAATATGGTGAAATCCCTGCAAAATCCATATCTTCCATGCCATATAGGAGGCAACTGTTGTTGTGTGTAATCTCAAAGGAACATAAATAGAAGGGCTTCCCCCAGGGAGAGAAGATAAGTAAGTACTATACTCACTTGGTGTTTAAAGCTGTAGTGAGTACATGACTTTCTGTACTGAGGGGAACTTTGCACCTGGTTGACATATTCACACAGTGAGAAACTGGAATGTAAGGAGAAAACGTACTATTTGCATTTCTAAGTAAATTGTTCATTGAAAGCCTGAACCCAAACATAGATCAATAGAAAGACTTTTACTCTTTCCTGTGGGTTTTGGGTTTGATTCTAGACCTAGCTTCCCTGAGGTTGGGATGCATTCCCCAGAGGCAAGGATATAATTTAAATGTATTTAGGCAAGGAGTAGAGGTAATAGTGAAGATAACACCTGTGAGAAGGAGGAACACTTGCTCAGAGAATGTCTTTGGAAAAAGAAAAGAAAAAGACATCAGTCAATGTTGTTTGCCAACAAAAGTAAAGACAGGAAATCAATTTGAATTCTGTATATACAAGGGGACAACCATTGTCCTGGTCCTGCTGGCCACACTATTGCTGACACAGGCCAGGATGCCACTGGTCTTCTTGACCACCTGGGCACAGCTGGCCCATGTTCAGCTGCTGTC